AATTCTTCAGGCCGACCATAGATATCAGGGGTGCGTTGGGGCAGGGGATCGAACCCCGGACCATGTACATGGTCGGCGAGAGTCCTAACCGCTGTGCCACTGATGCATTTTATGCAGAAGCTAAATAAACTGGTTATAAGACACAGCAACTATCCTTGTTATTGCTGTTTCTGTTTTTTGAAGGACTAACTTAATTTGTTATTGTTACTGTGATTATTATTCCATTGTGTATTTCTGTTGTATTATATACACATCTCACACAAACGATGAGAAGGCAAACAGAAAAGGAGAAATACTCGTCAATTGGATGTGGATGGTGATGGTGAGGAGGAGGATAAGATGAAATGAGATTAGGTTGAATGAGAAGGCGAAATTGTTGCCAGAAGGCAAGTTGTGATTTCTATCCTTCATCACAATAATCACAAAAGAAAGAAAGAAAGAAAGAAAAACTGTTATTTATCCCACCCACACACTCCTGTGTGTTGTTTTACTGAATAACAAAAATATTTTTCTGTTTTTATCGCCTTCCTTCTCATTATTATTAATGTCGTTGTTTAATGATGAGTTCAACTGTTGTGTAGTTGAACGAAGTTTTTTTTGTCACCTCAATATATGCAAATTACAATCAACTAACAAACCAACTAACTGAACTAACTAACTCCATCTATCTATCCATCCAACCACCCACACACTCACTCGCCCCCTCCCCACCACCTCCAGTCCACAGTCAACTTCCTTATCCTGATGTCTGTTGGCAAAGTGAATCAACGGATCATTTTAAGTCAATTAGCCCATAAAAGATGGTTGACGATGATGCTGCGTTTGTACCAGTTAGAATAACAGTGGCAAGTTCTGTTGGTAGGGGGTGGGAGGCGTCTAGTTGATGTGGGGGGAGGGGGACGGGTTGTGCCTTATTTATGCAAATTTTGTAAGTTATCCTTGATAATTATTAGTTAAGATGATAAACACAATCCACTAGTCTGTTTCTGTATGTTTGTACACATACGCACACACGCACATACAAACACACACAAATACACAGAGTTAATGTCAATCGGTTTTGTGATTTCCAACAAAGTCATGGGAATAATTAACCTGTTAGCTAATTATTGTTGCTTTCTCTCTCTCCGCACAGACAGAGGAGTTTTGTTTAAATTAAATTATGTTTAAGTGGTGATTAACTCATGAATTAGTACGAATTATTGAAAATAAAAGGGAAAACAGAGAATAGTGGACATACAACACCACTGAGTTTTGGAGATACCACAGTAGTGTGTACATGCAGGACGCTGTGTTAACGATCGGTTCCAAGACTATCAAGTTTTACCTAACGATTATCTCACCATTGAAGTATTAGTGGAAAATCAAAGATGACATGAACGAGGCAATGAATGTTTGTGGATAATCATAGAGTCAGATATCCAAGATTGAAAAGAACAGACTACGGTATCGATGTGGTGGTACTGAAAACTTATATTCCCTTCTGAACTCACAGGAAGAATAACAATGATAATAATCATATGGTAACGACAGAAGACAAGGGCCAGGAAACAGATTGTTTATTGAGAAAATCAACAGATATTTATAGATTTTTATGTGCATTATTATTAGGAGAGAAGCAACGTCTTCTGATTGGTTGTTTTCTCCCCGAAAGTTAGTCTGTACTGCTTGTGACCGTTTCTTAGACAGTTAAGCCATATATCTACGAACCGTATTTGCACATGTTAAGTTTGCTGTGATTGGTTGGTGAGTTCCTCAAGGTTAAGCTTTGTTATTGTTTTTATTTCTCATGACCGCGATTCAGGACGTGAATAATGAGGTAAATTGTTGTCTACAATCTTGGCTTGTAGACAGCTATCACCACAATATAATACACTATTGCTATTCAAAATCTAACGACAAATACTAATATTACATCAGTGAAGGTGATCAGTGTAGGGAACTGTGCTTAAACCAAAGATCGAACTCATTGGCAATTATCAACGACGTGTAGTATCTGTAACACTGAAGGAAGTGATCCTACGTCAGAAATTCGAACCCCTTGTCACCCTAGACCTTCAGTCAAAGGTGCTATCTACCACTGAGATATTTAGGCTGCAGTTGACCACTTCTAGGACTTTAATGGACACAATGCCTAGTAACTATGACGTAACACTCCTCAGCCAGCATAGACCAAGTTCTAACAAGCGATTAGCTAATACTGATTGGGAGGATACTATCAGTGTCGGATTTGATTGATATTGAAGGAATATCTTGTAAACGTAGTGTGGATGTGTTACAAGCTAAAGCACTAATGAATTCCATTCAAGAAGTTAAAGTGAATTTTCAAAACAGAACCTGATACAAAAGTGCTGCAGCAGTCCAAGTTGCTACACACTTCGTATAACACAAAACGTGGTAGAGCACGTTGATTAATTCACTTATTTGGGAAGTTGCATCACCCAGTGACAACGGGTTGATCGCTGATGAAATCTCAGCACGGATACAGACGGCCAGTTTACGCCGTCTTTGGTGTACTGCTCAGCAGTCCGCTCCATCCTCCTTTAGGGCAGTGAGATCTGGCCATTGAGAGTGGAAGACATGAAAAAGGCTAGCTACCTGTCTTTGATCATAGGTGTCTGAGTTCTATCTCCCGTGTCAAGTGGTATAATAGCGTAAGCAATGTTGAGGTTAGGCATCAGTCGAGTGTTAGGTAAGGAGGGGAAATCAATTGACGAGGCTGTGAAGCTACATCGACTGAGATGGTTGGGACATGTGTTACGCATGCATGCCTAGCCATCGGCTTCCTCAACCGCATGGCAATGTTAGCTGACATAGAGTCAGGTTGGAAAAGAGAAAGCTAGCAGCTGTCAAACCAAAACATAGCACCAGTCAATTAAATCCACAACAGTTAGTTTAAGCCACGTAGGAAAGTGTAGACTTCCTGATTAGGGTCCTCGGGACGGTAAAAATCAATGGCTGGATACAATTGGTGATATGGCTGAAAGACGTTCTCAGTGGTGCAGATGTATCCACTCCTTGTGACTTATAATTTCCAATGAAACTATATTGTTCTTCGTTACTACTATTCATTTTGTCTCATATCCCTGTTTACTGTCTCTATTTTACATTTCTTCTCTTGCTTTGTGTGCTACAAGGAGGGAGTGTGGCGAATTGAACTGCTGCACATCGGTGCAAATTTCTCTGTTGAAAGTAGACAAACATAACACAAATGTGAAGGAACTATAATAAACAAATATGCAGCAGAAAACTGAGAATTTGATGCATCTAGAACTTCATGAAGTATAAATGATTTTTAGACATGTAACCAACAGTCTCAAGCCACTAGGTTCTTAGTATCCAGGATGTCTACATCTCTAAGCAACAGTCAGAGACTTTATGGACTGATAGCGTTATTTTGCACTTTACCGCCAATAACCCCTTTACAACCTAATCTGTTAGTCGGCTAATACTGTTGCACGATGAATAAGATGGCTTCGTATATGTGTGACGTGTCCTAGCCATATATCAATAGGTGTTAGCTTCACAACCTTACCCATTGACTTGCCTAACCTCAATACTACACCACTGGAAAGCTGTGGTCAAAGTCAACTAGCCTCTTCAAGTCTTCCACTTTAAACGGCCATGTCTAGCAGTCATATAAGAAGACAGAAAGAACTACTGTGAAGTACGTATCTCCTTTAATCGATCGCCAGATATTCACATCTAATTACAGAGATAACTTAAATTATTATTATTGTTCCCTTGGGTTCCTAGTGGATCATACGGCTTCAACTGCACGCCTCCACTTGTTTCTGTCTTCTGCTGTACTTTTCACCTGCATCAATGTTACTCCATACTGTTTCAACTCTTCTTCACACGATCTCCTCCATGTCACCCTTGCACTGACGTCCCACTCGCCGCTTCCCTTTCGGGTTCCAATCGAGCATTGGCCTGACGCGCGATGCCACCCAACGGCTTCCTCAGCGAGTGTCCGATCCATCTCCACTTTCTCCTGCATATTTGTTGGGCGATTGGTTCTTGTTTTGTTTGTTCCCATAGTTTCTTGTTGGTGATTCTTTCCGGTCATCTGATCGTGAGTATAGAACGAAGACAGTTGTTGATAAAGGTCTGCAACAGGCTGTTGGAAATACTCATTGTTTGTGACCCGCCAAGTTTCTGATCCGTAAAGCAAAACTGACTTGACGTTTGTATTGAAAATCCGAATTTTGTTGTTGGTGCTGAGTGCGTCGGTGGAATAGCGGTTAGGACGCTCGCCGACAATGCACTTGGTCCGGGGTTCGACCCCCGGCCGATTTTTTAACCTCGCCTAGATTACTAGCTCACTAGAATTCTAGCCGGTCCCAAACCCGGATAAAGAGGGAGGGTTGGGGCGTGGTGCTAGCAACTCCACCCCCAAAACTTAACAAAATTGCTACAGAAACTTCAACGCACAAATATATTAAAAATTCTAAAAACATAACTTAAATTGGCTAATACTATATGTGTATTTTGTATCCCACTTAAGATTGTGTAAGTGAAATCAGTCTGCTTGGTGATGATCTAACTACCTAAATAATAAGTGAAGTGTTCACAACGCCACCAAACCGCTCTACTTTACTCTCCATAATCTCTAAACTGCGCGTCAACGCAGACCAGTCCTGTAGCATCAGCTTACATTTCACACGGCTGATGGGGTTGGGTGGGCGGTTGGGAGAGAATCGCATACCAAACTTATTAAGATTTCTGTTGAAAGTGCTTAGCAGACTTTGCATTTTTTTTGTCACCATCTTTACACAGCATGACAGACAATACCATCTATTACCTTCCACGTCGGAAAGACTGCACCCAGTGCATCAAATCAATCCCTGTGCTGATCATAAAAATTAAACATTTCAAATCTGAATATTATTTCCTCATCATCAAGAAAAATGACAAATACTTTAGAGGAAAACAAAAAAACAACAACACAAATTATGAAAAATAATCTATGATAAATGCTCTAAACAAATAAGCAAGCATGAATATACAAACATTTTTTTCTAGCGAACAGAAAACCTACTACTTACAACATATTCAGTAGTTTAGAAACAAAATCAGTAAAAAAGAGTGACAAGTTTAGGAAAATATGTTTTTTTAATTTACAAAAAACAACATGAATCACAATTTTTTATTAAGGCGGTTTTTGTTTAAAAAAAAACATAATTTATACAAAAGAGGATAAACATGGGGAAAAGGTGTTTTTCTTCCTACTTAAACGTATATAAAAGGATATTAAATGGATAAAACTCTGAATGAAAGTAAACAGTGTTTGGGTTTTACGAGAAACATTTGAAAGAAATGAACGAAAGAATCGGCGATGAAAAACAAACAAATGCCTTTTTGTTTCCAAATAGTTTTTCACTTAGCAACCAAAAACCAATGAAACATATGGATGAATGTGTAAAAAAAAATACAAACAAATGCTTTATTACTAATATTATTATTATTATTACTGGAATAGTGAACGTCTAGGACGTAGACGTGGTTGATTCCTACTTGTTTCTGTTATTGTCGTCAATCTTCTAGGTGGCAATACACTATTCGATAGATGATGATGATGATGAATATGTGAAGGAAACTTTGACTCTATTGTTGTCGTCAGTGGATGATTATCAATATCTTTTTGTACATTCCACTGTAATTGACGTAGTACAGGGGATAGTGGAATATCATTATTATCTAGTGAAGCTTCATCCCATGGATGACGTGAATTTTCTCTACTGACGGTGGTGGTTAATTGTACCTTTTGATTTGTCATCCTCGCCATTGATGGATGTGATTTCATCTGGAGAGATGGTGATGACGGTAATGATGGTTGTAATGGAGATGATGATAACAGTAACAAGGGGGAATTTGTTCGAGATGGATTAATATTCTCAATATCATCATCATTATGATGGTCATTGTGTTCTGTTGAGTAGTAGTAATAGTTTTGAATGTTTTCGCATGATGATAATTTATGACACGATAAACTACCATCATCTGCTGAAGGCAGTGGCTTTTGATGTTCTTGTAAGAATTGTTCATCACTTCCATCATCTCCACCGAATAATTGTTTACGAAGTGCAATACACGCTGAATTACTTTGACTGCTTACCGTTCCATTATCCAGAATATCACTAAAAGGATCACGAAAAAAAAACAAGGCATAAAATCAATAAAGAATGAACCAAGAGTATGTACTTACCAACAACCATGCTTCACGTGGCCTACGGTTCGATTCCTGACCAACACGCGCCCCTAAACCTCGTTTAACCGTGGTTGTAAGCCCGGTGACTAGCAGTCCACTCCAGCTGATGCGGATTTTGACCGGTTTGGGACTCGTCATCCAGGAGTGACTGTGACTCCCGCAACAGAGTGGATGGCAGTATTTTCCCACACTGAGACTCGAACCCACTACCCAACGTTTCACGCATCAAAGCGTTATCCACCAGACCACTTGGGCCATGTGTGATTTTCTGGTTGATCGACCAGACCGAAATATTTGACTTCTATGTTGAAATGCCGACACACCACCCCTGTCTATGACAGACATCGTAATGATGTCTGAAGACTAACAGGATATTTGATTGAGTTGATGTGGTGACTAGCAGTAAAACGCAGCAGGTGAGGATTTCATCCTCTCATTGAGATCACTGCAGATGCATACAGTGATGAGTCCTAAGGGGAGGACGAAATATGTATCCTGGATTCCACTGCCAGTCACCACTATCTACCACCAAATAAAAAGAATTACTTCTCTTGACAAGTGTGACTAATGTCAAGTGGCAAAGCAAATTAATGTCATATATATAGAATAATTCATAGGATGGATAGAACTTGAAAAAGGGTGTGCAATTATAAGATTAGTAGACAAATCGAATAAAATAAAAAGTTACGTAACAAACATTGTGTGAAATTCGATAGCATAGAATTTAACGTTGTAAAAAAGAAGAATTGATTTAGAATGACAAGTGGAACAAGTGAAATAATACCTGGGATAGTTCAAAGTGAGAGTAGTAATAGTAACAATTGACTTAATAAGGAAGAGTATACAAATTGAATAGACAAAAATGAAAAAATGGAGAGCTGGTAGAGCTAAAGTATGATTGGGGATTACCATACTTTAGCATAGAGGAGGGATTAAGACCATGGAAGTTAGGGAGGGGTTGAACGAACCTTCTCTGTACACAGAGATCTGGCTTTTCTGATTCGATAGCCAAAGATGGCTTCAGCAATACAGATGAGTCGGGTGCGTAGGGATTTGGGTAAATTACTCTTTGTATTTAAGAGGAGTTTAAAGGCAGAGGCTATAGAGATAGGGTGATCATTATCGACCAGATGTTCAATGATCACGCTTCTTATTACTCCACACAATACTACGTAACGTTTTTATTTTATTCGATTTGTTTACTAATACTATAACTGCACACCCTTTTTCAAATGCGACTAACTCAATAAAAACAAGTTTCACAGGAGATAAGAGATGGAATCAACTGTAAACACACGCACACACACAACCTGGAGTGGGGTGATTAAGTAATGCCTAAATTTCAACAGCTTCTGGGTTTGTGGAGTCAGGGGACACACTGAACCAGAGAGGAGAAATGGTTTACTCCGATAGAAATACACATCAGAAAATGCAGTCAGTCAATCTCATCAATGAATGTTGATGGAACAATGGATGTACACCCTAAACGATTAGTAAGGAAGCAGTCTAAGCACGAAACGAATAAGGCTGCCTACAATACAATACTTGTATGAGAATATATTCTATTGATTGATTGGTTTGAGTAGTAAGCAGTTGGACACCACTCACATCATTAACCAGTAGTGTTTGCTGGTCAGCCAGAGATTGGAGTGATCCAAATATCCGACTGGTCGTTTCGCCCCCCTACCTGGGACTACTCCACCAACCAGCAATAGTGTACCCAGGATAACTCAGCTTAAACCACTCAATTTTTGGGTGGTAAACAACTACTGATTTCAAGCAATCAGTAGTATATTATGGGTATGTATTTTACTTTTCTATAGTTTGGTTTGTAAGGGTTAGTTATATTTTTTTTACGAGTTGATCACGGATTGATACCAGTTACAGAACCATTGAAAACCAACCAGCCAGCCGTTTCATCATAGTTTGGGAATGATCTGCAGTACGCACCCACCACCACGGTTCGAACCCACGACCTTCCGGTTACAAGGCCAACTAGCTGGCTCGTATACCATTCAGCCACTGGGACCCTACATGATTCAATGGCCAACCCATGAATTCTAACTTCTACCAGTTCGTGATTTAGCGCGACTGGCACCAACCAATGTCGTCGGTGGGAACATCCATCCTCACACGTGACATCTGGTTGCACCCCACTGGTCACGACTTCTCACTAGAACTCCAGGAAACTCCGTCGTCCTGTAGCAAGTCACTAGCGAGCATCAGATTAATTTTCTATAGTTTTGGTTTGTAAGGGTTAGTTATGTTTTTACGAGTTGATCAGGGATTGATATCAGTTAGAGAACCACTGAAAGCCAACCAGGAAGTACTAGACAGCTGTTACATTGGTTGGTGGTCGCGCTAAATAAGATCACGAACTGCTAAAAGTTAGAATTCATGGGTTGGTCATTGAATCGGGTCCGGTCCCAGTGGCTGAATGGTATACCAGCCAGCTTGCCTTGTAACCGGGAGGTCCTGGGTTCGAAGGCCCTATGGTGGGTGCATACTGCCCATGATTCCCAAGCACTAGGATGAAACAGCTTGCTGTCCAGTACTCCCTGATGGGTTTTCAATGGTTCTCTAACTGATATCAATCCGTGGTAAAACTCGTATATATTTACACTTGATTTCTTGATTAGTAATTATAACGTCAAGCAAATCACAATACTGTGGGTCTGAATAATCTTGATTTCCAAAGGAAACCTCTAATGAGACTCGACCCAGAATTGGATAAATGGCAAGTTAATTTGAAAAGTGTCAATTTAAGGCTACAGTACTGCTGAAGAAGAAGAGGAGATCAGTGTTTCATAAATTAGGACTTAAAGGTGATGAAATTGGAGGAAGAATTACTAAGCGAATAAGAGATGCGATGTATCTAACCGCCCAACTGGTTCACCTATCCAGTTATACAGTTTAAACTAGACGAATTTCCAACTCTCGTTAAGTTCAACTACTATGTTTATGAGTTTACGCATATGTACATGCGGTAGCAAGTAATCAGGAAGAAAGGAGAGACAGTTGCCTACAAGAATTGTTAAACATGTTCCCAAGAGTTTACATCTTAAAGGTACAGCATCATTCAACAAGCAACATTAGATCATTAGATCAACACAGTAGGCGGTGATGATGAATAAACGAAAGCACTTCATGACTACTTCAAATTGCTGAAGTTGGTCTGTGACCACTTAACGAGTGAAACTTGAATTATGCATACAAAAATAGACTATTACTAACCTCAGTAGGCATTGACGGCTTCATAGTTTTTAAATGACTCACAAACCTATAAAAGGTTCATGAGGAAATCAATCTTTAGTTTTCCAGGCCTGATGTTCATTATCAGTATAGACAAAGTTATGGAGAACTGTCTTGAATGAATCGCCTGAGATCAGCTATCTGGAATACATATATATCATATGCAAGTCTAGGTACGTCCGTGGTTCAGAGGTAGAGCGCTGGCCGACCATGCACTTGTCCCAGGGTTCGAGTCCCGGCCGGCACACACCACTTCCCCTTAGCCGGATACACTCCCGATAAAGATGGAAGGTTGGGCATGAGGCTAGCAACCTACCCACCACCCACCCACCCCGCAGAAACCCCTTGTGCTACACTGAAACTTTAGAGCTTTGAAGTTTCAAAGCTCTAGCTTGGAGCCCCCTATGGTCCACTGGGAATGTAGAGGAATAAGAAAAGAAGAAGAATATACCAGGCTATGAGTCATACTCACTGATTGAATTTCAACATGGAACGTTGCATAGAAGTGTAGCAGTTCAAGTCAGAAAACTTCAAGAAGCACACAAAGAGAGACAAAAGAGAGTCAAAAGGATGATCATAATAACCCCAACAATATAACACAGAAAAACATGACGGCTTAATATAGATATGGCAGATTAGAGAGTCACTACCAACAGTTTGAAACCATTAGATTTTAGCGTCCCGAGGACCTCAACTAGGCAGCCTACACCTACCTATGTGGCTGGTTTGAACCAACTGTCAGACTTCATAGGTTGATTCTAGATTTTAGTTTGACAGCTTGTGTACCTCATTTCCAACCTGATCCTGTGTCAGTTAACAGTAGCCATTAAGGTGACGACTAAGTGTGTGCAATACATGTCCTAACCATCTCAATCGATGTAGTGTAACAACAGAAGACAAGGGCCAGGCAACAGATCAGTTTTATTACGAAAACCAGCAGGTATTTATATGTATTTTACGTACATTAATAGGCTTCTGCCCGCAGAAAGAAGGCGGTCTTCTGATTGGTTGTTTGCAAACAAACGCAGTCTTCTGCTTTCTCGTTTTCGATATTTCTCGGAAATGCGAGCCACTTGTCTGCGAATCATATTTGTCCACGTCTAGGTCAGCTGTGATCGGTTGTTGAATCAGCCTAGATTAATTTCTACCAATCAGCGTAGATCAATGTCTACCAATTGGCTAGCAGCTTGCTCTCACCACAGTAGCTGCTTCACAACCTCGTCGATTGATTCTCCCTCCTTACTTAACACTCGACCAAAGCCTAACCTCAATATTACTCACTTTATTATGCCACCCTAACATGGGAGACAGAACGCAGACATCTATGATCAAAGACAGCTAGCTAGGCTTTTCATGTTGTCCACTTTCAATGGCCATGTCTTACAGCCATAAAGCTATCCAATACTGATTTTCAATGATTCTCTAATTGCAGTCAGTTCGTAATCAAATTTGAAAATAATAATAATGAGTTCCCTTTGCAACGACAGAGGAGAAGGGCCAGTCAACAGATCCTGTGATGAGAAAATCAACAGATATAGATTTTTATGTATATTATTAGTCGTAATTTTTAGCAGAGAAACAGCGTCTTCTGATTGGTTGTTTTCCTGCTGAAGGTTATTCTGTCATTTCTTTGTTGCCGTTTCTTAGACAGTTCATAGGTGGCTCTCGTGGTTCAAG